GGTGGCCCATGCAGCCCAGGGAGGGCTCCCTGTAGGGGGGGGGACTCCAGCAAGGATCTCCCATCACTCCATTAAGGAGAGCACGGCCCCATTGCCCTTGCATGGCCCAGCTGCTCACTGGAGCAGGCAGAGCAGTACCTCTGGGTGCCAGCAGCGAGGGTTCCCGCAGCAGCCCACCCCCCACGCCATGGCAGGGTCACATGGCCCCAGCCTCCCCTCCCAGCCCCAGCACATGTGTTTCCAATGTAGCTGGGAGCTCCAGGGAGTCGGCGTGCTCAGAAAGCAGCACCAAATTCCTTTCCGATCGAGTAATGGGCCCCAGCAGCCTTCGCGGGGCTGGGCAGGGGGAGGGGATGGTCGGACCCTCCAGGACCGGGCTGGAGCAGGGGGAATCCCAGACTAAACACAGGGATCCCGGCCAGGCAAGAGCATGGCATCCCCCGGCACTGGCCCAGGACCAGGCTCTGGCGCAGTGTCCTCCCAGACCCTGGCTCAGCGAGGCTGGGCCCCCACTCCGTGGGACTGTTCCCATCACCTTGCCCGATGCAGCCCCCCCAACATCACCCCTCATCCCGCACCCCGGCATCGGGCCCCGCAGCGGGGATGCTGGCACCCCGGTGACCATGGGATGGAGCAGCTGGGGACGACGGCAATCTCAGTTCCGAGGACGGGGATGAAGAGGGATCACTGCCCGGCCGGGCTCAACGCTGGAGAGGCAGGGGGGGGACCCGGCATCAGCACTCGCCTTCCCGGGAACCGATTTTGCTGCTCTCAGCAGCTTTGGCAGGGACGGCTCCTTTGCAGCGGATGCCGGGAAGAGAGATGTACCCAGAGCTGACAGCTGCCGCCTGGCCGGCAACACGCACGGAGCTTGCCCACAGCGCCCTTAGGCTGCCAGCGGGACCGCGGGGCCCCACGGAGACCGCAGGGCTGGTGGGGACCAGGACCTACCCAGGCCCACACAGCACTACACAGCCCCGTCCCGAGAGCAGGGACCCGCCTAAAGATGGGCGTGTGCCCGGCTGGGCGGTGGGTGCAGCCCAGCTGGGAGGTGGGTGCCCCAGCTGTGTGGTGGGTGCACGGTAGCCCCCTCCCTGCCCTCTCCGAGAGCATCATGCACAGCATGCACCCAGCACCCACACTGCCCAGTGCCCCGGCTCTGCCCAGCGAGCTGCACCCTGGAGTACCGGCAGCATCCCCGCACGGCACAGGCACCCTGGGGGGCAACGAGGGGGTCTCGGGGAAGACGGCCCCAGACGGCCCCAGCCAGCCCCACGGCACCAGGGTGGAGTGGGAGATGCGGGTGGGCGCTGGGGGACACGGACTGGCGGGGGGTGATGCTCCCTGCAGCGGGGCCTGGATCCAGCCGGGCCCCAGCACCGCAGAACCGGGTGCCCTGCACTGGGGGCAGGACAGGCAGGGTGGGCAGCCGAGGGGTCCCACCGGAGAGAGCCACCCCCCACCCTAAGTCTGCAGCAATCCCAGCCCACCGGGGCAATCCCAGGCCGATGCACCGAGGCCCCCCAGGGATGTGGCACCCCCGGAACTTGGGGGATCCGGGGATAGCGGGGCGGCGTGGGATGCTTGGTGCCCCCGCGGTCGCAGGCCTCGCCCCGCCGGGCAGCGGGACCGCCCGCTGTCGGGGCACCGGCGACGCCGGTCGGGGAGCGAGGCCGGGCTGGGGGCGCCCCGATCCCCTCCCCATCTCCCGCCCCCCGGGCGCCCCTGCCCGCGACTCCGGCTCCAGACAATGGCGAGGGACCGGGGTCGGGCCCACCATCGGGGAGCCCCCCGGGGCCCTCCCCGCCATGCGCGGACCCCCCGTTCCCGGCTCTCGCTGCCCGGCCGGGGGCTCCAGGGGGCGGCGGGTCCCGGCGCTCGCACGTGCCGGCCCGACGCAGACAAAGCGGGGACCGCGCCCCGGCCCGGTGCGGCGGCGGAGGGCAGGTGCGGGCACCGGGGGCGGCGGGCCGGGCACACCCCCCGCCGCCCCGCCCGCCTTTGTGTGCCGGGGCTCCCGGGGACGGCGGGGGGCGCAGCGCGGGGCGCGGCCGGTGTTACCGGGCGGCTCCGTGCACAAAGGGCGGCGGCGGCGGCGGGGACAAAGGGGCGGCGGCGGCGGCGGGCGCGCTCACCAGTCGGTGGGGCTGTCCTCGCCGATCACGTCCTGGTAGGAGGCGAGCAGCTCCAGGCGGTGCGCCGCGAAGCCGACGCCAGCCATGGCAGGGCCGGGATGCTGCCGGGGGACCGGAGGGACCGGCCGCCTGCCCGCCTCCGAGACACTGCCGCAGCGGCCGGGCGGAGGGGCGAGCGGCGGGGAGGCTCCGCCCGCCGCCGCGCCCGGTCCTAGCGCCGCGAACGGCGGCCCCCCTCCCCTCCCCTCCGCCCCCCGCCGACCGGCCCCCGCCCCCGCCGCGCCCCCGGGGCGCCCCCAGGGCACGCCGCCGACCGCGCCGAGCGGCCCCGGGTCGGGACTCCGGGGGTGCCGGCGGCATCGCCCCCGCCCAGGGCTGCCCCTGCACACGGTTCGCCCCCGGCATCCCGCAGCCTGGGCTCTACTCAGTCTCCGCAATACCGCGCCCCGGGTCGTTACCCCCCCCCAGGGACACTGAACCCCGTCTCAGCTCCTCATAGGAACCTGTACCCCGGGTGGTTTCTCATCTCCGCTCCGGGGACCAGCATCCTGTGCTGCCCCCCCCGGGAACCTGCACCCTGGGAACCTCACTGAGTGGTCCTCTCCATCCCCGGACCCTCCCCTGCCCCATGTCCTCTTCACTCAGAGGACACAGCACACCAGGCTTCCTGTGCCTTCAGCTCCCCTCCACAGAGCTGCCGTGCCCGAGGTTTCCTCTCCAAGGACACGGCACCGTGGGCTCTGCCCCACACACCCAGCTGTGCCCTTGCTGCTGTGCAAGGGTTGGTGGGCACAGCCTTTTTGGGGGCCCCTTTGCTGCCTGCCTGCCCCTGCATGCCCACTGCTCCCAAACATTGCCTGCCCTCAGAACCCTGCCAGGCTGTGTCCAACAGCACCTTTCCCAGGAGGTTTTGCCTCTGCATGAACTCTCACAGTTGCTTTTGCACTGACCCATGCAGGGCTCTGCAGGGGCTCCCAGCCAGGTCCTCATGCTCCAGCTAGGGTAGGCAGTATCACCCTGTCCCCCGGCACTGCCCCCAGCCCGGACCAGAACCACGCTGAAGGGGTCTCTGCTGGAGCAGCAGTGGCCTGATCCCTGCAGGTTGGGGTTGTTCCCAAAGCAAGCCCTTCAGTGCAGCCTGTGGATGAGCCCAGTGGGACAGGGGACAGTGCCGCGGGCCCTGCCTATGCTGTCTGCTCCCTTTCATGCCTTCCTTGCACCAGCATTTGCAAGCGAGGCCAGAGCAGGAGCCACCCTAAGAGGTTGTGAGAGTTTGGGAGCAGCTGTGGAGCAGCTGCCGGGGCCAGTGAGGGGGCTGGGGCCGTGTCAGGCTCCTCACAGGAGGCTCAGATGGCTTTGGGGGTGGATGTGGTGGGACTCTGCTCAGGGACATGGTGGGAGCCCTAAGCCTGCCGCTGCCAGGCTTTGTTCTCAGAGCAGCGAGGCTGCAGCCCCTCCCAAGGCTCCACCTCCACAGCCCACCCGAGACCCTCCTTCCGCTGTCTGTGCACAAGCTCCTCACATGGTGCGCAGAGCTGGTGGGCAAGAGCTGTTCTTGGCAAAGCACAGAGACACCTTGGGTGGTAGAGCCATCATCAGTAGGGGCCAGAGGCAACAGGGCATGAACCCAATGGAGCTGAGCCCCCTGTGAGTGCAGACCTGGCAGTGGCACAGGGGGGCTGGCTGTGGTACTGTGGCTCTGCCCTGGCCCTGCTCCAAGGCCGGGCATCCCAGGGCTGAGCTGGCAGAACCTGTTCCCAGGCCGTGCTACCCCAGCAGGCTCCGTCCCGCATGGCTGCCTCCCCCTGCCCTTTCTCTGCCCTCCACTCACTGGTTGCTGTCCTGGCTGAGCCAGGGTTGGCTCGGTGGCTGCTCACGTGGGGCCACAGCCGCCTCACCTTCCCCCGTGCTTCCCCTGACCTTGGCTGCACAGCTAGGACTCACGCTCAGGCACTCACCCATCCCTGCTCCTCCCAGCCCTGCCAGGCAGGCACCGTTTTTACAGCTGTGTCCTGCTGCTCCTCAGTGTGACCCTCCCACTGCCCACACGTGCCCCAGCCTGAGCGCCCAGCCCCAGCCTGTCTCCATCACTCCTTTCCCCGCCTCATCTTTGACAGGGTTTTCCACTCCTGCAGCTGGCAGTAGGAAGATGTGGCACTACTGCCCAGATCTGGGTGATGCCAGGAGGCATTTGGCTTCCCAGAGCCAGCTCCTGCCCCCGGCAGAACCTTCCAGTAGATTAGCAAGACAATTTTCCTTACAATTGCTCATCACTGCAAAAGCTGCAATTATTAATGACCGTTCCAGCTGTCAGAGCGAAGCAGGAGGAGAACACCCGCTTCCCCACACCCGCTGCCCTCAAGCCCGTTCCAGGCGGAGGTGCCGGCACGGCCTCACGCCCATCCTCTGGGACAGCAGCTGCATCGGGTGAGCGAACGCTTGGCTGCCCCACACCGGAGAACGCCCAGAGCTGGTGCACGTGGCCCATTTGTGTCCCATGACTTCTCGTCCCCTGTGCAGGACTCGGGGTCAGGGCACAGCAGGGACCAGAGGACACTGCCAAGTAAGTGGGGACCACTAAGGTCTGACCCCTGCCCCATTTCCCCTTGCTGTGTTTTGCCCCTCAGATTAGTTACTGCCTCTGTTAGTGATCCTGCCTGCTACAAACAGAGGGATGACCCAGGCAGCACAAGAGGTCCAGCCTGGGCTGACGCGGGTAGAGGAGGAGAAATCAGAGGTGAAGATTTTCCCTGGAAAGCTGGAAGGAGCTGAGTCAGGCCCCAGGGGGGACAGGATGAGGGCAGAGCATGACCTTCCCAGCTGGCTGCACCTCAGTCGGCAAAACCGCAGGCCTGGAGACAGCCGGCACTCACAGAGATGTGTTTATTAAAGGCATTAAAAGCACCGTGGCTACATCAGTGCAGCCCGACCAGAGGGTGTGGGTTGGGGGGAGGCCCAGGACGGTGGTGACAGAGCACTCTTTGGCAGGAAGCCGTGCCCAAGCCTTGCAGGAGCAGACAGCCAGCTGGCCATCAACACAAGCTGCCAGCCCAGGGCTGGGGCACACCAGGCTGGGGGTGCTGCCAGCCTCAGGGGAGCAGTGGGGTTGCAAGGCATGGACTCCCCTTGGAATGCAGCCAGGGCAGGAAGCCACTGCAGCAGTTTGTGGGATGATTGGGGGGTTGCTGTGGGTAGGGGAGCAGGGCTGGGTCTCCAGCCCCATGCACTAAGCACACAGCAGGGAAGGTGAGGAAGAGTGTGGCAGGGGGCTGGTCCTCACCCATTCAGGGATGTGTTAGGAACATCCCTGCCCCAGCACTGAGCTGCCAGGCAGTAAGGGAGCAGCCTGGTTGCACCAGAGCATCCCCGATTCCAGCCTCAGCACGGCTGTGCCCACTATGCTGCGTGGTTCAGGGGCAGGAAATCCATGCAGCATCCCCTTCCCAGGGCTCCTAGGGCCAGTCAGGAAGCACAGAAGAAGTCACCCAGCTATAAGGGCTCTGCACCCAGCACTGTCTCCAGCTGAATTCAGGCCAGGAGCTGCCAGGAAAGAGGCAGGAGCAAGGGGAAGGGCCAAGGGCCCAGCCTGGCTCCCTGGAGGCATCAGGATGGGAGGAGAGGAGCATGCAGGGCCAGGGGCACGCGTGGGCACAGCTGAACTTCCACCCCTCACACATGGGAGAAAGCATGGCTCTTGCAGAGCGGCTTGTCCTTCTTGGAGTAGAATGTCTTCCCTTCCAGGTTGGTCTGGCAGATCTGGGAAGGAAAGTACAGGTGGTCAGGTTGGGGGGCTGAGTCAGCCTCCAGGTCTCCCCTACCCCCAGGGCCCAGCACTGGTGTCACCCAGGTACCAGGGACCAAAAGGCTGAGAGCCAATTCCCAAGCCCCCAGCACAGAGACAAGTGGGGAAGACCTTGTGGCAACAGAGTCCCTGTGCTGCTGGTGTACCCCAAGCGGGGCATGACTGTTGGAGAGAGACACAGGCACATGGCTCACCGCACAGACGAAGCAAGTGTCGTGCCAGCTGAACCCCAGGGCCTCCAGGAACCGGTCCCCAGCATCGATCTTGAAGTCACAGCCACGGCACTTGGTGCCAAACATCTTCTCGTAGTCTGTGAGGAGAGTAGAGCCCAGGTCAGCATTTCTTTGCACCATAGCCCCTCATCCCAGAGGAGCAGGGCTGCAGCTCAACCGGGATCCCACAGGCACAGCCTGGGGCCAACCTGCTGCCAGTCCTGAGGGGACGATGCCCCAGACAAAGTGTCCGGGCCATGCAGGTGGCCCAGCACCACAGGGCTGCAGGGAAGAGGCAAATCTCATCTCCCAGGGTGCAGCACTCACTTTGATGTACATCCTCCCTCATCACCATGGTAACACAGGCACTACCGGGAGGACTGGGATGGAGAACTCGAGGCTGCAGGAGCTCTCCATGGCCCAGGGCAACTCACCCCTCAACCCCTGTGGGCAGCTGCTGAGCCCCAACAGTGCACCAGGGCCACATGGGGTGACACATGGGATCCCTGGGTCCTACCTCTCTCGCAGTAGGGCTGTCCCTCCTCCATGTAGAAGGCTCGGTTGCGGATGGGAGTTTTGCAGGCATTGCAAGTGAAGCACTGCACGTGCCAAGTCATCTTCAGAGCATGCATGACCTCCTGGAAGGGAGCCACTGTCAGCCAGGGGCAGAACCACCCAGGGCAGGAAGGGACAAGAGATCCCATGGGATGGGATTAGGGTGGGAAGGGACAGAGCCAGGCACCCATAGGTGAGCGGGGAACAAGGACAGGAGGTGCAGGACAGACTGAGGGACACTCACTCCAGTGATCTTCTTCTTGCACTTGGCACAGCTGGGCGCGTAGCGTGAATCGTAGCACTTGGGGCAGAAGATGGAACCTTTCTCCTCAAAGAAGCCGCCCTCATCCAGCACCTTCCTGCACTGGCAGCAGGTGAACTCCTCGGGATGGTAATAATGTCCCAGTGCCACCAGGTACCGTCCCCTGTGGCAGGACAAAGCCATGTCAGCCATGCCAGGGCCCAGGATGCTGGCAGGGGGTGGTGGTGGCCAGGGCTCACCTGATGACCTTGTTGCACTTGTAGCAGAGGGGGGTGCAGCCGGGCCCCTCGGGGGCCTGCTGGGCCGCCTGCACGATGGAGCTGCGGTTCTGCATGGGGGTCGGCGTGGCCAGCTGGCTGTGCTTGCTCACCACCGTGCTCGTCTTGTCCGGGGCGTAGCGCTCGGCGAACGACGGGTCCACAGCCCACGGTGGGCGGCTGGTGGGGCCCGGGGTGGCAGTGGGGGTCCTGGGGGCTGCATGCACACACACGTCTCTACAACAGTCCTGATTCCTCTGCAGCCCCCTCCCAGAACCCGTGGCTGAGTGAGTGGCATCACCCAGCAGCCCCACCCCTCTCCCAAAAAGCCCAGAGATGTTTTGCTCACCCAGTCCTGGCTCAGTCTTCATCGCTGCTCCTGGAGATGGGTCCGACATGGAGACCTGGCTACAGAACATGCAGTTAATCCAGCCTGCCCCACTCTGCTGCCCAGAGGGTGCAGGCAGGGCCCCCCACCCCAACAAGCAGGCAGGACCTGGCCAAGCCCCTGTGCCCAGCCAGTAGCTGGTTTGGTGATGAGGAACCATCAGCCCTGCCAAGACACAGCACCCCTAGGGTGTCTAGTACCCACTGTGGTGGTCTGAGGAGTGGCAGGAGGGAGGAATCTGGGCTGTGTCAGACTGACCAGGGGCCCCAGGGACCCCACAGACTCTGGCTGCCTGCTCACACGCAGTGATCACTCACAGTCACATTGGGGTGCAGAGGGGCTTGGATCCAATGTGATGCAGGGAGCCCTGGGGCCCAACTCAGCAGAACTGGGGACAAGCAGGGCAAGCCAGGGCCAGAGAGGCACAGCCCACCCAAGAGAGGGGACAGGGACTGAGAGAGAGCCAGTGGCTCTGTTCCTCTCCAGGGTAAACACCAAAGGAGATGGCTACAAACCCAGAAGCTTTTATTAGTGGCAGAGCAAACTGGGCAGAGCTGGAACCTAAGGGCCACAGCACCAGGGCAGAAGGCATCACAGACAGGTGAAGGCAAAAACTGGGGTGTGGTACACCACTCCTGCCCAGCTTCATGGAGCGAGGAACAGCCCTGGCTCCCTTCCCTGCCCCACACAGGGAGAAGAGGGTGACACCCACCAGCTCTGCCCAGCTGCCCCACACCAGGCCCACAGGACACCATGCCCCAGGTGCAGGTGCTGCCCAAACATCAAAACACCCCAGCAGGATTTTGCCAGTGCCACCAGTCACCCCCAACCTGCTGTTTCTGGGACACAACGGTGCAGTTCAGCATTCCCAGCTGAGGAGCAACAATGCCCAACAGGTCCTGCCCAGGACATGCAGCCCCACGGGGCTCCTGCTGCCACACACTCCCCTTACCTGGGCTTCCTAACAAACATCTCATCATGATCCTCCACTGAGCGCAGCAGGAGAAAAAGGAGGAAACAGAGTCAGTCTGCTGAGACCCAGGCCCAGACACAGCAAGAGGGGAAAGGGAAGGGAGGAAAACCGACCTCCCCACCTGCCATCCCCCTGCCCTAAGGCACAGCCCTTGGGCCAGAGCCATGGGCCAGAGCACAACCCCAGACCAGCAGCAGCACCACCACAAGGCCACACACAGCCCCGGGCAGCTCTCGCTGGCTCAGCTGCCCACGGGGACCACATGGGGCCAAAAACAACACTCTGGTGCCACAATACAGCCCCTGCTGGGCTCCAGCAACCCAGGCAAAGTCTATCACCCCCAGCCATTGCCAGGCCCTGCAGGAACTCACTGCCATCTGTGCCCGTCAGCTGGGCCAGTTTGCGGAAGGAGCGGGACTGGGAAGTCCCGGTGCGGGGCTGCCAGTCCTCAGCGTCCTCTAACATCCGCAGCTTCCCAGGGTTGCACCCAGGGGTGCTGGGGGGCTCCAGCAGCTGAGGGGGCTGCCTGTGAGTGACAGAGGGCAGGAGCTCAGTCAGCACCAAGCACAGACCCTGCTTCAGCACAGAGTAGTGCTCCCAAAGGTGCCCTGGCACATGCCAACACCTCTGCCAGACCCCAGCACTCACCGCTGCTCCACCACGCCCCAGCTGGACCCACGGCCATCCCTGTGGCATCAAAAAAACGGCGGCACAACAGTCAGTGGTTGACCCATGGCTCAGCCCATCCTTCACGTACACACCCACAGCCTCAAAGATACACGAGCCTCGTGGAAATGTCGACAGCATTCACTCCTGACCAGCCTTACAGCCATTCTACGGCCCCACAAGACATCATGCCCCAGGACTAGCTGCTGTCCAGTGCCTCCCAACACCCCAATCAAGATGTTATCAGTGCCAACAGCCACCCCCATCCACTGTGTCCAGCACACGGTGCTGCATCTCGGCCTCCTCAGCTGGGTGCCAGCAGTGCCCAGCGGGTCCTGCCCAGCACAGGGACACCATTTGGGGACACGTGTATGGTGAGTGGGTGTCCAGGTAGGACCCTCCCGAGGTAATGGTCAAAGCACTGGCTGAGCAGTGGCAGTGCCTGTTGTGGGCTGAGGGCAGGGGGGGCTCTGTGGCTCTGTTAACAGGTCAGTTCTGGGAGAGGGAGAGGACAGAGAGGGAGACAAGAAACCACTACAGGGCAAAGAGCTTCCTGAGAGTCACCACAAGCAGCGAGAGTGAGCGCAAACGTGCTGGTGGTACTCACCCAGCTCAGTCTATCTGCCTGGCAGCTCCACACCAGGCTCAAGGGACAATGTGCCCCAAGTGCAGGCACTACCCTGCACCTCCCAACATCTCATCGCCAGGTTTTCCAGAGCCATCAGACTCCTCCACTATCCATACACCCGAAAAGCTAAGGTGCAGCTCAGCATCCCCAGCTCAGAGCCAGCAGTGCCCAGACACCTGCCTGGGACATGCAGCCCTTGCACATGCTCCCCTTACCTGGGCTTTTTAACAAGCTCATCCTCACCATCCTCCACTGTGCACAACAGGAGAAAAAGGGGAAGATGGAATCAGTCTGGGGCAACCAAGGACCAGGCACAGCAGGAAAGGAAAGGAGGAAAACCAACCTCCCCACTCACCATCCCTTACCCCATTGCACAGCCCTGCCCAGTCATGGGGCAGAGCACAACCCCAGACCAGTGGCATCACCACAAGCTCACACACAGCCTCAGGCAGCTCCTGCTGGCTCAGCTGCCCTCAAGGGGTGATTTGGAGCCAAAACCAAAGCCCTGGTGTCACATGACCCCACAGTCTCTGTCAGATTCTGGCTACCCCAACAGAGTCCATCACCCCCAGCCATCACCAGGCCCTGCAGGAACTCACTGCCATCTGTGCCCGTCAGCTGGGCCAGTTTGCGGAAGGAGCGGGACTGGGA